GAACTCATCACATTACATTAAGTACATAATTTGATGAATTAAAGCAATTCCACAGTCACTGTTTTGATTCAGAAGCTTTGGTATCTTAAGCTATATACAGAAGTTGTTAGTGTGAAGGATATACGTATTTTATTTAAACTGTGTGTTCCAAAGTGCCTTGAAGATTTTCCACCTTCAAATAGAAAACTTTTCAAAATTGGCTATCATATCTCAGTGCTGACTTGTGCCACTCAAAAGGAAGGAAACAGACTAACTTCCCTGGTGTGAGCATGAATGTCAAACAGTCTTGCAGTTTGGTGGTTTGTAATGTGACAAAGCATATTGCTAATGAAAATGTAACCACATATGCTGGATTAAGACTGGATTAAACCTGATTCCACTTCACAATGGCAAGCTCATCATTCATTCATTCACACGTGCACACATACATATATGTATATTTTAACCTGCAGGTACCCAGGCTAAGTTTGTAATGATAAATTTCCTATTGACTCTATAGAGCACAAGGGCAGATTCTTTTCTTGTTTTGTTCTTTTCTTGAAAGAAAACATGAATGAAACTCCTGAGAAACATTCTTTCCATAAACAACATTCTTATCGTCTTTCACCTTTCTTGGTTTTTCTAAGGTTAGGTAATAGAAGGTTTACAAATAGGATGGTATTCTTACCTGAAGAAAGAGGAAAGTCTGTGAATATTTTTATTGGTGGAAAATCTTTCCATCCCTATATCAAGTACATTTAAATTTCAGTGGATATCTAGTAATTTGGATAAATCCATCCATCTATCTTTAAAAAAGAAATCTCTTTTTCTTTCATCAAGCCATCCATTCAACAAATGCCTATAATAACAATTACAATACAAATGCCTAAATAACAATTTAGGCAATAGGCAGTATACTCAATGCTGCAATGTAAATAAAAAAATACTCCAGTCCTTGCACTCAAGGACTTTTTAGATTAGTAGGGGAGATAAATATTCAAAGCAATAATTATAAGATGGTAAGACATAAGCCATCATGCTGTGTTATGGAAGCTGATATGTATGAGGCCTTCTCTCTATGTTACCAGTTAGTATAATAACTTGCCAGGCCTTCAACTTTCAGATTAGCTGGAGTCTAGCCCCAGGCTACCTGGGCTTAAATCCTTTCCTCACTGCTTGGTAATTGTGTGGCCATGAATAAATTAAATGACCAGTCTGTGCCTCAATTTCATCATCTGTGAAATGGAGATAATAATTAGACCTCTTGCATAAGGCTGATACCAAGACTAAACAATATATGTAAAAGCACTGGAATTAGTAATACTTAGCAGTGTTTATATATGCTATGTAAACGTTAATTATAATTATCACCCTTTATTTTCATAATGAACTTAATATTACAGTAGAACAATGGTCTTCAAAGATAATCCATTAGAAACTGGAAGAAAATACTAGAAATACAAGAAACTATTTTTAAATTATTTTTCAATTTCTATTTTTGTATGTCTTATAATGTATCTAATATTATTAGAGAAGTATACATACATAGTTTGTTAGTGAATGAGCAGCTAAGTTTTTTATTGGCAAGGCACTCAAAAAAAAAAAAAAGCTTAAAGATGCCTATATTACAGAAGGACATCACACCCCTGTCCACAGAAAGGACTCCAATTTATAATTTACCTTTGTAAATCACCCTTACATATATTATCCCAAGTGTCAGGAAGACACTGAACACATTAGTAATGATATATTTTCATCTGCTTCTGATTCTTACCACATCCAATGGACAGAATTGAATGGTGCCAATACAGGTATTCTGGAGTCAATGAATCAAGAAGTCACTCCTACCTTTCCCTCTTGAGGCATGTGATAGGCTTCAAAGAATTGGCTAATTTACTAGTATATTCTCTTCACACATACTCACCTATAACATGGCAGTGACACATGAGATATAAAATCCATTAGAATATAAATTATATAAGTTGACCATATCATTAGCCAACATTTTCCCCAGTAATCTTTTTTCAAAATGATTTGTGTGTGTGTGTGTGTGTTTACTTTTCTGAAACTTGCAAAGCCCTTTGAGAGAAGTATATAGAAATATTTACTATTGAAAGCAATCTGGACTTTCCTGTCTTCATGATTCATTTTAAGATTTTTTTTGTGTAAAAGAAGCTGAAGACGGTAACAAAACAACAGCTGCTTAGCTACAAATTAGTAAAAATAAGCTCCTCATGCCAGATTATTATTGAAGGGTTTTATTTAAAGCAATTTACAAACTGGTGAAGGATTTTACTTAACACATTCATACTTGATACAGCTTTTGAAGCCATTTAGAGAAGGCTGGGGGATCAGATGGAAGCTGCTTCTTTTCCCTTTGCTGAGAATATGAAGATTAATTTATGTAAATAACGAGGAAAGGCATGTTTGCTAGAAATTGCATAAGCTGACTACGTATTTAATTGGGGTTCCACAGGAACCTGCTCATCAAAAAGAAAAGATTATAAGCTCAAAAGAGAGAGTCATCATCGACTTCTCAATCACGAGAAAAATAATACAGAGGAGTTGGTGGTAATTAGCAGGGACCCTGGGTGCCTACAAATTATTAACTTTCAAAATTCTGTCCTTAGTACCCTTTCTTTTACCAAAGATAATTTCTATTAATTGAGTTATTTTCACCTTTGGTTTGGTTTGGCATCTTCTGATTTTTAAGAGACAAAAATCCAAGGATATTTTCTCAACAGTCTACTCTGCATTGGGAACTGACTGAGTTCTGTCTGGAACTCATTAACTTCTTCCTCAGTTTCTCCAACCACAAAAGAAGCATAATTATGCCTACCTCATGAGCTTGCTGTGTAAGTTTATTAGCTCATGTTGATGAAGCATTTCTGAAGATGGAATGTACTGATTATTATTACTTGTGATAAACTTATTTACATAATTTGGGACACAAGCACTGAATTTTTAATTGAAAATAAATGAACCTCAAGTATCTCTTCTTTTGATTGTGTGTGTGACAATGTGATTTGGTCTTTTAAGAAAAGCAAATATTGCCGGGTATGGTGGTTCACCCTGTAATCCCAGAGACTCAGGAGGCTGAGGCAGGAGGATTGCAAGTTCAAAGCCAGCCTCAGCAACTTGGTGACACTTTAAGCAACTTAGCAAGACCCTATCTCAAAATAAAATCTGGAAAAAAAGCAGGCTGTGGATATGGATCAATGGTTAAGTGCTCCTGGATTCAAACCCCAGTACCAAAAAAAAAAAAAAAAAGCAAATACTGTTAAATACAGTCTAATTTGTTAATGAAGTACGCCTTATAGCATCTGTTTAATTGAAATATTATACCTTCATTGTGCACATATAAGTAATATACTCATAATAACTTGTAAGTGTTGTGAAATGTGAAGAGAATTCTCATGTCTTTGTCATTTTTAATTTTTTGAAGATTTGTGTATTTACTCTCCTTAAATGAAACCAAAGAATGCTGGGAGCATGAATTCTGAATGCTACTTTCCTTATGAGTACTTGTGTTGATATTTCCAGACTTTCATTATTTTAATGTGAATGATTTTTTTAAAAAAAATTCTAGAGCTGCAAAGCACACCAGGAACAGCTCATTTCTTATTAATGAAACCACATATACTTACTGAGCATTTTCTATATCCTGGTCATGATATAAATAATGGGACCAGTGGTTCTCAAAGTGTGATCTCAGAACCAGCATCAATGGAGCAGCATCTGGGAACTTGCTAGATAGGTGAATTCTCAGACCCCACTGACTCATCAGAAGTTCTGGCAACAGGGCCCAGCAATCTCTGTTTTAACGAACACTCTAGGTGATTCTAATGTTGGCTAAGATTGCTACTCTGGAGGATACAAAATTGGGTTAGAGTGTAACTTTTAAACATCCTTACCTGTCTTTGTTGCCAGCATTTGGACTGACATATTCTGTTAGTGCACATCTTCTACATAAATGTATCTGTCTACTAATTATGTCTTTGTACTTACAAGTTTAATTAGAGAAACCCTGTACATTATCACTGCTTGCACCTTCACACTGTAAGCCCAGTAGGTAATGAAGTGGTTTCAGGAGTGTCAGATTCTCTCACCTGAATTAAATGGGTGCATAATCAGTCCTAGGCTGCAGGGATTAGTATAGGGCCCACACATGGGCAGTTGGTTATTTAAAGACAATGAAGTGGGCAGACCAGCATCTGAGGGTGGCGCCATGGAGGGTGGTAGCAGCAGGAGGGGTAGCTCATGGCTTGTTACTGGGCTTTTGACTCTGGGGCTTTGGTGCATGCATTTTAGCTGGGTGGAATCGTTGGATTGTCACAGTAGGATTCTGCCTTCCCATGTGAAAGAGATTTTTTCTGCCAGGCAACGTGGCTTTACCCTTACATCTAAAAGTAAGTAGAAGAAGCTTTGTCCTCTAATGGCAAGAGATTGTTCCAGGAGCTGCCTGCCAGCATTTTGTAGGGCAAATAGGAATATGAGTGTAAATCATCAGATATTTGGGCCTCCTTGGGGTAGAGCAAGGGGCAGGAATACTCAACTGGTCTAGCAGGGGAGGAATCTGTTTCAGTCTCATCTTGGCAGTTTTCATAGGTAGGTCTGTCCTTGAGTTTAATGTTCTAAGTAGAAGGATGTTCTAAAGCATGGAATGCACAACTGGTAACCAGGGCAACTACAGTGGACTAGGAGGCACGAGAGGGCAGGTGGCTTGTCTTGAGTCATAGTGACTGGGATGGTCGTCAGCCCTAGGGCTGTCATTCTCAGACTTAATTCCAGTGGTGGGGTGATGCGTGTAGAGGAAACTAACTCCTAGTTGCTGTGGAATCAAGGGCTGGCTTTATAGATGGGTAGACACAGCTGAATCTGCTAAGTAACTGCCCTGTCCTGCAAGGTTGGTAGATAGGGAGCAAGAAATGGGTAGGGAGGCTTTTAGTAAGCTTTCTCTGTGGGAATCTGTGGTAGCAGCCTCCTGAAGCTTCCCCTTTTCTTTCCCCACAGGCATCCAGTTCCTGCACAGTTACTGGCTTCTCCATTTTGAGGCAGCTCACTTCTTGGGGATTTCCTCAATACAGCTATGGGCCTGGGTGCCAATTGCTCCCCATGGCACTGACCTTATTCTAGAGTTCAAGGACCATCAAAGGGGTCCCCAAAGAGTCCTTCTGGGCTCTTTCCCCATTATCTTACCATCCTACCAGTCAGAGAGAGGATCGTTATTGGAGATCTACTGTTTACTAACGTATTGGATGGAGGTGGTGCCTGCTCTCATGGCAGAGGGAAAGACCTCATCCACTGATACTGCAGACGCCAGCCTGAATGAGTGTTCCAGAACCCAAGAAAAGCGAGATGTGGTGTTGCTGTTCATATCCTTGTTCCATGCACAACCACCTCTGTTTCACCTGCCTCATATCCAGGAGCCCTTTATCCCTAATGTGGAACAGCTGATTCTGGGCCAGAATCACAGGCAGGTAGACCATGGCCAGGCTCAGTTCCCAGCAGGAAAGCTCTGTCACCTGCAGGATCACAAAGTGAACCTTCACAGAGCTCTCTGGGGTGAGTGCATTGTTGCACCCAAGACTTTCAGCTTCCCTCGCTGTCAGGGGACCTGCCTGGCTCTGACCAGTGAGCCCCATCACTCCAGCTCTGAGTGCTACAAGGTAAGATGTGAAACTTTGTTCTCTTCTGGGGATATTTTGGGAAAGGACAAATGCTCAACTCTCTAGGCCTGTCTCCTTTTGTGTCAAAGAAGTCAATGAAAGTGGCTCTAACATAATCCAGTACTCATGTAATTTTGTCATATCTTCTCCCATGGTGACCTCATGCCCTATCCTCATTGTCCATAAGAAACAACATCAATTTCCTAACAACTGTTTTTAAGTAGCCCTAACCTAGAGACTTCCCATGCCCTCCTTCTCCTTTCCCATTTACCCCTGTCAAATCTACTGATGTTCCTAAGGATGAGGCTCTGGCTATAATAATGCTCATCGCCTGTTCTTTTTTTTTTGCCTCCACAGAAGGAGGCACCTACCTGTTCCTGGCTCTTCCAAGTCTGTGGTCCCATCAAGATGAGGCTTTTCTCCTTGATGGTCCAGGATGATGAATACAAGATGAGCGTGCACTTCCTGAACACATCCCTGATAGAAAAGTGTGGCTGCTCCTGAGATACCCTGGAGGCTCTTGTGGGTCCCATACCCACTCAAATCTCAGGACTCTAGTGAGGGACTGGGGTTGACACTGGAAATAACTAGAGTTCTTTGGAGGGTGAGGGGATTCGATTATTTTTCAAAGCCCAGTAAGAAGGATGGCATTATGGTAGTCACTCTGCCTTGGCCACTTTTCTTTGACATGGGCAGAAACTTTGTACTGCTATTCTCAGACATTCCTGTTCCTAGGGCTGGGCCTATTAGTTGTCCAGACATCTGAACATTGCTCTGTCCTGGATTATGTCAGTGAGCCATGCTTCATGGAGGCCACTTAAGTGGGAAAAGAGGAACCAAAATAGGTGGGTGTGTTCTTGGGTTGGAGCTAAAACGGTATTGGTTAAAAGGGGCTGTTTCAGATCCTTCTGGGCTATTCTGCCATTGTCCTGCTCTGTACCACAGGCCTGGAGCTGGTCCAAAGCTGGCCTAGGCCTTGGAATGTTGCTTCCTCCCCACCTAGCTTGCCTGGCTTCTTCAGTGAGTGAAGGCTGTGTCCGAGGGAGTGTCCTGTCACAGGCTATGCATGGATTCAGGGCACCAAGGCCTTCACAACTACCTGGTGAGAGTCGGATCAGAGCCTGGATGTTGCTGGGAGTGGAGGATGTCACTTGAGACTGATCTTTGGTGGAGGGGGTCTTTGGACTCATGGAAGGATTAAGTCCTTCATTATTTAAGGCACTTCCTGCCTGATGACTTCAATGATTAGCTTTATTTACTCTCTTCAATAAAACTCCACTAACATCATTGTTGGTCTTTTTTATTTTTATTTGTTCTACTTGGTTGTACATGACAGCAGAATGCATTTCAACTCATCGTGCAGAGTGCAACATTTCAATTCTCTGGTTGTACACGGTGTAGAGATGCACATCCTTTGACATTCTACAATCATCCATGCACCTAGGGTAATGATGTCATCTCGTTCTACCATCTTTCCTACCCCCCCACCATAACCCTTCTTCACCCTCCCCTTTTCCCAGTCCAAAGTTTCTCCATTTTTCCCATCCCCCCCCCCCATCATAGATCAACACTTACTAATCAGAGAAAACATTTGGCCTTTAGTTTTTTGGGATTGGCTTATTTTGCTTAGCATGACATTCTCTAACTCCATCCATTTACCTGCAAATACCAAAATTTTATTCGCTTAATGCTGAGTAATATTCCATTGTGTATATATACCACAGTTTCTTTATCCATTCATCTATTGATGGGCATCTAGGTTGGTTCCACAGTGTAGCTATTGTAAATTCAGCTGCTATAAACATTGGTGTGACTATGTCACTATAGTATGCTGATTTTTAAGTCCTCTGGGTATAGACAGGAGTGGGATCGATGGGTGAAATGGTGGTACCTATCCAAGAGCATGGGCGATCTTTCCATCTTCTAAGGTCTTTTTCAATTTCCTTTTTTAGTGTTCTGTAGTTTTTATTGTAGAAGTTTTTCACCTCTTTTGTTAGATTGATTCCCAAGTATTTTTTTTTTTGAAGCTATTTTGAATGGGGAAGTTTTCCTAATTTCTCTTTCAGAGGATTCATCACTTATGTATAGAAATGATTTATGGGTATTGATTTTATATCCTGCTATTTTGCTGATTCATTTATTCTAGAAGTTTTCTGGTGGAATTTCTTGGATCTTCTAAATATAGAATCACATCCTCAGCAAATAGTGATAGTTTGAGTTCTTTTCCTATGCATATCCCTTTAATTTCTTTTGTCTGATTGCTCTAGCTAGAATTTCAAGGACTATATTAAATAGAAGTGGTGAAAGAGGGCATCCCTGTCTTGTTCCAGTTTTTAGAGGGAATGCTTCCAAGTTTTCTCTATTTAGAATGATGTTGGCCTTGGGTGTAACAATAGATAGCTTTTACAATGTTGAGATATGATCCTACTATTCCTAGTTTTTCTAGTTTTTGAACATGAAGAAGTACTGTATTTTATCAAATGTTTTTTCAGCATCTATAATAAGTCTACTGATGTGATGTATTACATTTATTCATTTCCATATGTTGAAACAATCTTGCAGTTCTGGGATGAACCCCACTTGATCATGGTGCATTATCTTTTTAATGTTTTTTTTATGAGATTGGCCAGGATTTTTTTTGAATTTTTGCATCTATGTTCATTAGGGATATTGGTCTAAAGTTTTCTTTCCTTTATTTGTCTGTCTGGTTTTGATATCAGGGTGATGCTAGCCTCATAGAGTGAGTTTGGAATGGTACCCTTCTTTTCTATTTCATAGAATAATTTGAGGAATATTGGTATTCTTTTTTGAAGGTCTTGTCGAATTTGGCTGAGAATCCATCTGGTCCTGGTCTTTTCTTGGTTGGTAGGTTTTTGATGGAGTTTCCGTTTCCTTGCTTGAAATTGATCTGTTTAAATTGTGTATGTCCTCCTGATATGTTTCTAGAAATTTGTCAGTGTCCTTGAGATTTTCGATTTTATTGGAGTATAAATTTTCAAAATACTTTCTAATTATCTTCTGTAATTTTATAGTGTGATGATATTTCCTTTTTCATCACAAATTTTAGTTATTTGAGTTTTCTCTCTTCGTTAGCATGGCTAAGGGTTTACCAATTTTATTTATTTTTTCAAAGAACCAACTTTTTTGTCAATTTTTTGAATTGTTTCAATTTCATTGATTTCTGCTCTGATTTTAATTATTTCCTGTCTTCTACTTTTGGTGTTGATTTATTCTTTTTCTAGGGCTTTGAAATGTAATGTTAGGTCATTTATTTGTTGACTTTTTATTATTTTAATGAATCGGCTCAATGCAAAGAACTTTCCTATTAGTATTGCCTTCATGGTGTCCCAGAAGTTTTGATATGTTGTATCAGTGTTCTCATTTACCTCTAAGAATATTTTTTGTCCCCTTCCTGATGTCTTCTGCTGCCTATTGCTTCAATATCATATTGTTTAGTCTCCAGGTGTTGGAGGAGCTTCTATTTTTTATTCTATCACTGATTTTTAGTTTTATTCCATTATGATCTGATAGAATACAGGAATACAGGGTAGTATCTCTATTTTTTTTTTTGTATTTGCTGAAAATTGCTTTGTGGCATAATATATGGTCTATTTTAGAGAAGGATCCATGTGCTGCTGAGAAGGTGGTGTATTTGCTTGATGATAGATGAAATACTCTTTATATGTCAAGTCTAAATCATTGATTGTATTATTGAATTCTATAGTTTCTTTTAGTTTTTGTTTGGAAGATCTACCCAGTTGTGAGAGGGGTGTGTTAAAGTGACCCAAAATTATTGTGTTGTGATCGATTTGCTTCTTGAAATTGAGAAGGGTATGTTTGATATACATAGATGCTCCATTGTTGGGGCATAGATATTTACGATTGTTATGTCTTGTTGATGTATGTTTCCCTTAAGCAGTATGAAATGTCCTTCTTTATCTCTTCTAACTTTGGTTTGAAGTCCATTTTAACTGATATTAGGATGGAAACCCCTGTTTATGTGACCCATGTGAGTGATATGTTTTTTCCCCCATCCTTTCACTCTGTGGATGTCTTTTCCTATGAGATGAGTCTCTTGAAGGCAACATATTGTTGGGTCTTTTTTTAAAATCCAATCTGCCAGTCTGTCTTTTAATTGAGTTTAAGACATTTACATTCAGGGTTATTATTGAGACATGGTTTGTATTCCTGGTCATTTTGCTTTATTTTTGTTTTTTAATTTGACTTGGTTTCTACTTTGATTGGATTTTTCTTTAGTGTAGTTCCTCCCTTTGCTGATTTTCATTTCCTCCTCATGGAATATTTTGCTGAGAATATTTTGTAGTGCAGGCTTTCTCATTGTAAATTCTCTAAAGTTTTGTTTTTCCATGGAATGTTTTTATTTCGTCATCAAATCTGAAGCTTAATTTTACTGGATATAAAATTCTTGATTGGGCATCCATTTTCTCTCAGAGCTTGGTATATGTTGTTTCATGATCTCCTGACTTTGAACGTCTTAGTTGAAAAATCTGAGATACAAATTGGTCTCCTCCTTTGTGACCTGATTTCTCTCTCTTGTGGGCTTTAAGAGTCTATCCTTATTCTGTATGCTAGGCATTTTCATTATAATGTGCCTTGGTGAAGATCTGTTGTAATTTTTTACATTTGTGTCCTGTAAGCCTCTTGTATTTGATTTTCCAATTTATTCTTCATGTTTGGGAAATTTTCTGATATTATTTCACTGAGGAGATTGTGCATTTCTTTGATTTGTATCTCTGTGCCGCCTCTATCCTGATAATTCTTAGATTTGGTCTTTACATGTTATCCCATAATCTTGAAGGTTCTGTTCATGGTTTCTCACCGTCTTCACTGTGTGGTCAACTTTATTTTCAAGATTATATATTTTGTCTTCATTGCCTCAGGTTCTGTCTTCCAAGTGATCTAGTCTGTTGTTGATGCTTTCTATTGAATTTTTTATTTGGTTTATTGTTTCCTTTATTTTAACGATTTGTTTCTTTCCCCCAGAGTCTCTCTTTCTTGAAATAATCTTTTGTTGCCTGTATTTTCTCTTGTATCTTTGTTGAATCAATCAATTGTATTTACTTTCAATTCGTTCTTTGCTTTGCAGATCATTTTAATTATGTGCATTCTGAACTCCTTTTCTGATGTTTCATTTACTGTGCTGTCAATGGAATCTATTATTGTATCAGCTTGGTTTGTTTTGGGTACTTTCTTCCCTTGTTTCTTCATGTTGTCTGTGTGTCTTCCTCTCGGACAGTGTGGATTCAAGGTACATCTTGTAGTGTCCCTGTAGGTTACCAATACCTTGCCTGCAGGAACCTGGATGATGGTCTTGTAGGTCCTGGCTGTTGTCATTAGATGGAAGCCAACAGGGAAAGCCACCCCACACATTGGTGGATGGGGCCACAGCATAGTCGCTCTCTTCCTACCGTGCAGCAGCCGGGTTGCCTTTTATTTTTGATCTCCATCAATGTCTTAGCACCTCTGAAGGAGAATGGGTGAATGTACATTGAGTTTCAAGCCTTCTTGTCAAGGATCATGGAAAAGAGAAGCAACTTGAAAGCTCTTTAAAAGAAATGCTTGTCCATTTTAACATTTACTCACATGACTTCTGGTTTTTGATTCTAAAACCTAGCTACAAAATGAGACACAGGGAAGTACTTCAATGTGGATGTTAATGCCCAAATTACTTGCTAGCTATTGGTGCAGAAGAGAAACTGAAAGTTCATGATGACACTTTGCATCTTAGTCACATGACTTGATCTGTCTTCACTCCTTAGAAACGAAGGAGAAGCACATCAGTGAAACTTATAAATGGTCTTACACTAAGACACTCAGACACAGAATTGTATGTTTCTTGTTAGCTTGTCTTACTACTCATCCATGTAAATTGGTGTTTAGGCAGAGAGGTCTGGAACTAGAGAAGGTGTGGTCTTTCCTGTCCATTCTGAGCTTTGTCTCAGTTGGGTGGTGGATTTTCTGAAGTAAGGATCTACTAACTTTTGTTGATTACTAATTTTCTTAGTACATCGCAGCTGAAGTTCTGACAAATTTATGAAAGTAGTTTAATTTTTTTTTTAATACCAGGAATTGAACCCCATGGTACTTAACTACTGAGCCACATCCCCATACCTTTTGAGACAGGATCTAACTAAGTTGCTGAGGTTGGTTTTGAACTTGTGATGCTTCTGCCTCAGCCTCTTGAGCTGCTGGGATTACAGGTGGAAACCACTGCACCTGGAAAACTTGGTTTAAATTTAAAAAAATAGCAAAGTATACAAGAAATG